CAGATAAGACGTTTAGCCATATTGATACTATTTTTTGTAAGAATCACTGAAAAACCTTTGAGTTATTCGGCTAGAAAGAGAACAGGTTAAAATTGTTTTGTATCAGCCCCAGTGACTTCCCAATTGAGCAATGGTGAGAGACAAAATATCATTCAGGCCTTCAATAATGGTACTAACATTCAAAGTTCATTCGAGAACCATCAAGAGAACAACGAATAAGTTTTTTTTTAAAAAAAAGTAGAGAGGAAAACTGGATCAGGAGATCATAACAGGAAGAGGGGTCATCATTTCAACTTAGAGCTAGAGAGATCAATTAGAAAAGATCCAACTCAATTCATAAGACGTTTGACACGTGAGAGAGAAGTTTTCAGAGTGTATATATATATATATATATATATATATACACCGGGTATAACAGCAAAATTGTACAAATCGTGTAACTATTCGACAATTTGGCTGTTACACGATTTGGACAACTTCGTAATCGTGTAACAGCCAAATTGTCGAATAGTTAGATTAAGCTCTGAACCGTTGTATCTTAGAAACGAGGTTTTTATAACACTATTAGGCTCTACTTTGAGCAACAAGAATGTATAATTACTTTATAAGCAATATCGTGATAAAATCGATCATAAACGAAAATGACATGTTCATCATTAATTAATCATAGCTAACGATTGGAAGCTCATGAATTACTGAAATAAAGTTCATATATAAATATATATATATATATATATATATATAATTCCAGGATCATTTTCCAACTTATCATATGTAGTAATTCATCGAGCCCAGAATAATCTTCAACAGAATGCTGAAAGCACTGGACGGCCGTTTCGTCCTATTTGGGACTCATCAGCAAACGTCATACCAACTGTACCACGGGCCTCTTTGACGCAGAAGATACAAACTAGACTCGATACAGCGCCGCTACTTACTCAGTTCCGCAGCGATACTCATCCAAGTATTCAGATAACCTCGGAACAGTGTCCCAAGAGCCACGTCTACTTATTGACCCTTAGCCGCTCCTCGCGAGCATTAGCTGGGTCAAGATAGGATATACAGTGGAGAAATTTGGGGGGTATTTAGAGTAATCATATATATATATATATATATATATATATATATATATATTAGGCAGCAAGTATTCATCCAATTAAAAAGAACCGGTAAGGTCTGTCTGTTTTTGTGGATAAACTATCCGAAGATCATATTTTATTATTTTTGTTCAAGTAATTTCGACTTTCAGCCGTCCTCGATATGACGATACACTACATCAGCGTCCTGGGTAAGACGATAAACTACGTTCAACAGCAAGGCCTCTGATCAGGAGGTTTTGAGGAGCGTGGAACCACCTCTTAATTGCTGGTGTTCCCTGGTCTACCCTGACCCTGGATGGTAGCAACTGTTAGGGTCCCAGCTGTGGGCAAATAGTTACCCACCCCCAAAAACAAAGGGGTCAAAACTCTATGAAAGTGTAAAAATGGGTTTTAATATCAGAAATACTTTGTAAAAAAATTATTACCAGCTGTACATTTTTGAACAAAAACATTACTAGCTACACAGTTTTAAAAAAATATTACTAGCTATACATTTTTTGAAAAAAAAAAAATACCAGAAATAGATTTTTTGAAGGAAAAATAGTACCAGAATTAGATTTTTTGGAAAAAATGTTTCCAACATAAAAATTTTGTCGGCGTTAAATAACCCATTGAGGTTGATATGCCGTAAAACAAACCAAACCAAAGCAAACCAAAATCGACTTTCGCAGTCATTATCAAGAACCTATATGGTGTCGGCGTGATAGTTAGAATTCCTTGTCTGCGTCCTGGTATTCTTTGGGAAGCTGGACGTTTGAAAGGGTCTAACGTGACGTCCTGTGTTGCCACGTTCCCAATAGCCGACATACATACTAAACACGTGTAATTTTAACAAAGCAAAATGAGGTATTTATTCAAGAATTTACACATTTGAAGTGTCAAGAAAAGAAATCAGAATTTTTAAAATCCGTAATTTTAACGTATTGCCATGAAGTGGAAATATTCATACAACAAATTAAATGATCTGACACAAAATAATATTAAAAAAATGTTAGGCCAAAGGTAAAAAAAGTTCATTCACCGAAAGGTTTGCAAGTAGAAATAGTTTGAAATACTTAGCTTTCTTGGACTGTTGAGAGAAAATTCTTTGAATTTTGTGTCCTGGTTAGAGGTCGATAATATAATAGGCGAGTAATTTTACACTGGCGAGTACTTCAACACTGGTCGCGATGAACTGAAGACACTCTTTTCATTAATTTAATTTTTCTCCTCTTGTTTTTTTCTTTTCTTGGTTAGCTACTTTCTTTCGTTCTTCTTCTTAGCTGACCGGCTAATTTTTGTGAAGGCAAGAATTTCATTGGTGCAAAAACAATTTCACATAGGCTCGCGAATTTCTTTCCTTCCTATTCCACTCACTGGTTAATTTCTGTGAAAGGCAAAAAACTCACATAGGATCGCGAATTTCCTACCTTCTTCTTCTTCAGTCCTTCAAATTTCAAAGGAGTGGATGAAGGAAGTTATTATTTCGCACTCACTGTACACGTCAGTTTGTATTCTGTGGATTTTTTTTTTAATGAAATGTGCTCAGTATGTTTGTTCCTAAATTAACTTAAGTAAGAAAAAAATGGAAAAACCGATGTCCAGTAATTAGGAAAACAATTTTAAAAAGACAGTAGTTTTTATTAACAAAACAGTGTTTATCAAAATGTTAGTTCTTTGATGGATGCACCTTTCGCTTTCAAACCTCAATGATATTAACGGTCGAAGCGATTGCCAATAAATACCAGATCGATATGATCAAAATAAGCTGCTGATTTAAAAAAAAAAAAAACACCTACATTCTGTTTTTAACTGGTGCAAGGAATGGCTTGCTAATTTTAACGCCAGCAAAACGAAACAGCTCTCTATTAATCGTCTGAAAGGCCCCTTTCTACCTTTCACCAACATGGCTGACGCTAATTCCAGGAAAGTGACTCATTTCGCTTTCTCGATGTAACGTTTTCCGTTGAGATGAAGTGAAAAGATTATATTGAATCCAATTGTTAGGTTTGCTGCCAGGAAAGTTGGTTCACTGTGACGTACTAGGCATTTTTCTCGCCAGAATCTGTCTTACATATTTATAAGTCTACCATTCGTTCATGTTTTGAATATTGCTGTCACATATGGTCTGGTGCTCCTTTCATAAATTTAGACATCCTTGAAAAAATCTAAAGAATATGCAATGCTATTAGTCCTGACCTGGCATCTCGGCTTCAGCACCTTTTCCTCCGTCATAATGTAGTTTCACTGTGCATTTTCTATGAAGACTTTCATGGTAATCGTTCTGATGAGCTTTCTTCTATGGTTAGAATTCAAACACAGTACTAGATTGTCAGTAATGTCTCATCATTTTACAGATGAAATGGCTAGATATAACCGTAAGTTCTATGTTTACAGTTTATTCTCTTGCTTATGGAACTAACTTCTAGCTTCTTGCGTTGCAGTCAAGTTTGATCTTCAAAAATTTAAATGCAGTGTCAATCGTTATTTCTTTCTTCTTATTTTCTGTTCTTTTGTTGTTCTCTCCTTAATCGTATATTTTTCTCATATTAACTAACATTCAGTAACTGCTTGCGCCTTAGTGACATTATTGCCTTGCTTTTGGGTGTAATACTAATATATATATATATATATATATATATATATATGAATTAAATAAATAAATATAGGTACCAGCAACGATATAAGCGTGCGATCACGCGCATATACAAATTTGCAAATAAATATTTTATTGAATTTTTGGTATTAAAAAACAGTGCTCCATGTGGTAATCAGTCAGTTAAGTGCCATGCGTGATACACGCTTAGGCGATCATGTATCTTTCGATACATGACTGACGAGGCATATTTTTTCCCCGCAATAGGTTGCTATTTCTTTCTGCGGTAGACCAGTTGCCATCTAAGGCTATAGAACCCGGTCTGTCCTGCTATTTACCCATAGCTAGTGGGAGAAGAAGAGGATTCATACCTTTCCCAAGGGTATTAGCACGTAAGTGAATGTAACCCGAGCAGCTATCCATTACTCCACCGTACCTCCCCATACAGATAATGTATATATGAACAAATATGGTTGGATTGATGTGAGTTTGTGACCCTGGGTTTCACGCTTTTGCGATCGTCAGACAAACTTATATATATATATATTAACAAATATAGATTGAATTGTACATGAAACTCCGAGTTGTACTTTTGACATAAGGAAATATATATATATATATATATATATATATATATATATATATTAGAAGTATTTGGGCAGCAATTTTTTATTTATGCAGGTTTAGTTAAAGGGCAACTAAAGTAATTTGTTAAATATATTTTTATTTAATTTTTTCTTTTTACTCTCTTTAGTTCTGGGGCAGAATTTTAATATAAATTTCCCGCTGTCTTCTGCCATTATGAATTTATTTTTTTTTTTTTTTTTGTGGATTTATACGATTGTGTCTCGGTATCCATTGGGATTTTGTTTTAGTTTTGTTTTTTTTCTTTTTTTGTTTGTTTTTCTCACTTTCGATTGTCGAGTTTTCAAGCGTTAGTCGGTGTTATGTTGTTTTTCCTTTTATAGTATCGCGTTTTCGCGCGACAATTTGTGGCGTCCCATCGTGTTCTTCATCATTTCTTCGGTCTCCAATAAATCTACGCTACACAATCTTCGATCTCTGCGTTATTTGCACTTTACATGTTTTCATTAATGCACCCAACATACTCTCTCTCTCTCTCTCTCTCTCTCTCTCTCTCTCTCTTTCCTTCTCACTCTTTCCTTCTCACTCTTTCTCTCTCTCTCATTTCTCAATTAATCAATATCCATTTTCTATATTCGCTATGCTTAGATTAACTTGGCACAAGGCCACAGGATCGAAGTACCCCGTGAGGATCGAACTCAATACATTAGCAAGACAGACTTTGCTAACCATCGTTATGCATGAGACGTCTTATCAATATCCGTTCTCACTTTCTCTTGACTTCACCATTGATTCTCTTTTTATTTCCTTCTTCGTTTGACCTATTTTTTAATCCTTTATTCCTCCTTTTAATATCTTCTTTCTTTCTTTCTTTCTTTCTTTCTTTCTTTTATCGCTCACCATTTCTTTCGTTTATACTGTCATCTCCCTCCTTTTCTTTTTTCATTTTTTCTTTCCTTTTTTCTCTCGTTTTATACTGCTATCTCCATCCTTTTTCTTTCTTTCTTTCTTTCTTTCTTTCTTTCTTTCTTTCTTTCTTTCTTTCTTTTATCTCTCACCATTTCTTTCTTTCGTTTATACTGTCATCTCCCTCCTTTTTTTCTTTTCTTTTCTTTTTTCTCTCCCTTTGTTTTATACGGCTATCTTCACCCTTTTCTTTCTTTCTTTCATTCTTTCTTTCTTTCTTTCATTCTTTCTTTCTTTCTTTCTTTCATTCTTTCTTTCTTTCTTTCTTTTATATTTATATATCCCTCCTGTTCTCGTTTTTTTTTCTTTTCTGCCTTTCATAATGATGTCTTCCTCCTTTTCTTTCCTTCTTTCTTTCGTTTATACTGCCATATCCGTCCTTTTCTTTTTTTCTTTCTTTTCTTTCTCTCTCTCGTTTATGCTGCTATCTTCCTCTTTTTCTTTCTTTCTTTTAATTCTCTTTTTCCTGCTTTCTTTGTTTTATATTACTATCTCTCACCTTTTCTTTCTTTCGTTTATATTGCCATCTCTCTCCTTTTCTTTTTTCTTTCTTTTCTTTCTCTCTTTATTTTATATTGGTATCTCCATCCTTTTCTCTCTTTCTTTCTTATATACTGCTATCTCCTTCCTTTTCTTTCTTTTTTCTATCTTTCTTTTATACTGATATCTCCCTCCTTTTCTTTCTTTCCTTTATATTACTATCTACCTCCTCTTTTTTCTTTCCTTCTTCCTTTTCTTTTCTTTTTTTATTCTTTTATTCTGATATCTCCTTCCTTTTCTTTCTTTCTTTTCTTTTCTTTTCTTTTCTTTCTCTCTTTCTTTTATCCTGATATCTTCCTCCTCCTCTTCTTTCTTTCTTTCTTTTGTTTATACTGATATCTCCCTTCTTTTCTTTCTTTCTTTAATATTTTTATCAATCCTGTAGTAAGATATTTTACAAGTATGCCACCATTTACAGCCTTTTCTTCATTTTACTATCTGTCTTTATATACTGCGCTTTCTTTCTTTCTTTCTTTCTTTCTTTCTTTCTTTCTTTCTTTCTACTGTTGTCTTCTTTTCTTTATTATCTTCCTTTTTCTACCACCTTCCTCTTTTCAGTTTCTTCTTTTTTTTTTCGACCCCCTCCCTCCGTCTTCTTGCGTTTTCTTGTTCCTTTCTTAACAACTCCAACAATCTCTTTTGGAAATCGATTTTAAACTTTACATCAGCCGAGGCAAGAAGAAGAGAGATTTTACAGTTTTGGACGTAACACCACATTACACCTGCCTACGGCATTCTAGATGGAATATCAAGTGATGATAACATCGGAGTTGAAGTCTAGTAAAGGCGCGTTCTATCCAATCTTCATTTGCAATTCTTTTATACCAAAGTGAGCTTGAAAAATCAGGCCCTTCGCTTAAGATAACGGAAATTCGTCGTGAAAAAAAAAAAAAAGAAAATGAATTAACAAGAATACATCGAATTAAAACAACAACAAAAAAGCTATAAAACAAAATTTAGCAAAAGAAAATTTCTGCAACCATTTAGAATGGATAACTAATCGATAATATCAAGTACAAAGTAATCGAAGCAAAAGTTTTAGTTCTTAATGTTCCGATGATACCATATTGCGGAAAACTTCATTCTGATTTTACCGAATTAATTTTTGTTATGCATATTATATATATATATATATATATATATATATATATATATATATATATATATATATTTGTAAATCACTAGCGGTCTTAAATGCCACTTAAGATTATCGCACAAAATTTCATAACTGAATCAATAAGCTGTCAGATCGTCATACGTCGAAACCGACGGGAGAGTCCATTATTATATATATATATATATATATATATAAGTAGCATATCTTCATTCAAGCATGTTTCATTAAATAATATAGACATTTCATATTTATTTTTATAATAATCCTTCCTAATTCCCTAATTATCTTCTCGATGTTAAGTTCAAATTCACCAAGGAAGGTGCCGTATTTTTTGTTAACCCAAGTACTTCATCTCAGGGGTGATTTGTGAAGACAAACTTAATGTAACTGTAATCTCTGTGATGGTGATTTTTGTAAACATGCATGAACGCGCTCTGTTATAATTATTTTAAAATTACGAATACAGTAGCAATGTTTTAAAGTACATTTGAGCTGACTATCATTTAACACTATTTTGCAATTTACCATCACTGGTTACCCCCTTGCACTGGGAACGCTTGTTAACAAAACTATCTTAACCACATCGGTTAGTTTTAAAATAATTATAGCAGAGCGCGTTCACGCATGTTTACAAAAACCACCATAACAACGATTACAGTTACATTAAATTTCTCTTCGCAATTCCCCTCTGATGATGATCTCGGAGGAGATCGAAAGTACTTGGCTTAACAAGAAGTACGGCGCCTTCCTTGCTGAATTTCAACTTAACATCAAGAAGAGAATTAGAGAACTAGAAAGGATTATTATAAAAATAAATAGACATAATATCTCTATATTATTTAATAAAACATGCTTGAATATATATATATATATATATATATATATATATATATATATATATATATATATATATATTTGAATAAAAAATTTGAACAAGAGGAAAACTATTCTTAACCGACGCGTTTCGTCCTCTAAAGGACATTATCAAGGCAATGTAAGATTTATTTTGTTGCACGTGTTCTATAAAAAATCGAGCATGTCACATTTTGTATATAAACACGTGCAACAAAATAAACCCCTACATTTGCCTTGATAATGTCCTTCAGAGGACGAAACGCGTCGGCTAAAAATAGTTTTTTCTTGTCGCTTTTTATCCATTTCGTTCCTTTTACAAATACACTCTAGCTGAAAATAATTTGCATATATATATATATATATATATATATATATATATATATATATATATATATATACGGAATAAAACGGAGAAACGAGCAAAAGGATCACGATCCCCCTACACGTACACACATTCGCGCAAACCGGCGCACGCCAGCGAACACGGGGACTCGCGCATGGCCGCAGACGCGCACACACATACGCAGAGAATATAAAAGGAAACTTACACCATTGTTAAATATACATAAAAGGAAAAAATCTAAAAAAGTATAAGCAGTAAATTCCTGATATCTCTTGAAGAGTGGACGGACAGGTCCGTCTACGAAACTCTGGAGTCGGGATGCTGAAGTTAAGATCAATCAGCTACGTGACAATCTTTTACTCGCATTAATCCTATATATATATATATATATATATATATATATATATATATATATATATATATATATACACTTTCATCCGACACTTATTTATTAGTTCAAGCAGACACCCCGTTTTTTTGTTTGTTTTGTTTTTTTAAACAGTGTTTATTACATCGATTTGTCTGTGCATCCAGTAGAATACAATAGAGAAAAAAAATTATTTATAGAGTTTTCTTGGGTGTGCCGGCCGATAGACGTAATGCCTGTTGTTTAAAATAAAAGATACGGGTGTCCACTGGAAGTAGTTTTTAAGTATGAAAAAAATCAAAAGTGCATATTTATATATATACATATATATATATATATATATATGGACGGGGTGGTGATTGCTGGAGGTCCGTCTCGAAACTCTGATGTCAGGATGCTAAAGGTAACACCAATCAGCTAAGTGAAAAACTTTATATTTGTATTAATTCTCTCTCTCTCCATCTCTCTCTCTCTCTCTCTCTATATATATATATATATATATATATATATATATATATATATAGTTTTTCCTCTTGTCTTTTTTTATTTATTTTGTTCCTTTACAAAAAAAAGGCTCTACATGTTATTTTTATTTTTACTTATTTTTTCTCACGTGTATTAAGCACTTTTTAATACTACTGTTCCCTGGTTTGATTCAACTCTGGCTATTAATCTTCCTATATATATATATATGTGTGTGTGTGTGTGTGTGTGTGTGTGTGTGTGTGTATGTGTGTTTAGGCAGCATATCTTCATTCAAGCATGTTTGATTGAATAATCTGCACATACTTAGTTTTTTTTTTATTTTATTTTAATACTATCAAATTCACGGATCAATTCATTAAGGGTGTAGTTCATGTATTTCATCTCTTTTATTAATTAAGATGAGAATATGATCTACATACCTCAGGTAGATGGAGAGTTTTTAGTTATATTAAATATCTTATTTTCAAGATTAACCATGTAGAAGTTACTACAAAAAAATTTACTACAATTTACTCCGTTCTTAAATTCACATATGAACTTAATAACAATAAAATTCATTTTCTTGATATATTGATATACACCAATAATAACACATTTACTACATCCCCATATAAAAAGCTAACAAACATAATTCATGTGCACTCTCAACTTTAAAAGTGAATCTCCTGACTATTAGAAAATAGCTATTATACAAGATTTAATAAACTGTGCAAAAGTTAACTCTTCCACGAAAAAATGTTGTGCACTGAATTAAAAAAAAAAATTAAACAAACTCTCATTAATAATGACTTGCTAAATTGCATTGTTGATGAAAAAATTAGACGATCTATTAGAAATATTAACATTGTATATCAATTTAAATGTCCTTTGGGAGATTGTATCTCTGACATAAAAGTAAATATATATGTTGGTTTCACGAGAACAACGTTATCGAGATTTACATTACACATGCCAGATTCAAGTTCTATAGCGCAGCATTAAAAGGAAAATTACTGTTAACATTCACAATATAGAGAAATATTAATTGGTAATGCAAGTATACTCTACCATTAAAATAAAAAACAAACACTTCAAATTCTTGAAGCCTTCTATATGAGAAAAATGCCACCAACACTACATAATGTTAATTATGAGTATAGCAACAATGTTTTAAAATGTCTATAACAGCAAAGGTGTGCTTTGGACTACTCAGCCAAAAAGTACTTGTTTTGTTCTCATATTTCTTAACCTGAGAGAGAAATTTCGATTGGCTATCGATATGATGTCAGGATATAGAGAAAAGAGGGTTTTTTTTTCAATTGTTGTGTGGAAAGAAAGTTAAAGAAAGAAAGAAAGAAAGAATTTTAATCAGTAAACAAAATGGCTATCGTAACCTTTGACCCTGGCCGTATGTAACGACATATACTATTAGTGTTCGATGACAATCAGAGTCACGGTTCTTAAAAATGGATGACATTTAAAGAAGTCAGCAAAGTGCATGAGTGGCAAAAATAAAATGGATATTTCATAGTTTTTCTCAGAAACATAACTTTTGGCAAACATTATCTTTGGTTCGGCCTCAAATTCATATAAGAACCAAAGAAACAACAAACGTATCTCGCCTGTTTATCATCTGGCTGAATTTTAGATCAACTCAGAGATATTTACAGTCACTCCTCACTTAACGACCTAGCTCGGATCGAACGATCTGGTCACTGAGTGAGAAGTTATACCTGACCGCTATTTCAGGCATTATACACGTGTAATGAGTTTGTGTCAACCAGTTTCACATAGATTTAATATCACTTTTGCACCATTTTGTAACATTTTTAATTTATTTCTAAATATTCATATATTAATGTACTGAGCAGTAAAACGTAATAAACAAATTCGAAAAACAGCTCTCTATGTGTTCTGGACATTTCTTAATCGTAATGTAATTTATTTTTTTAATAACGTAAATTTTTTATAAAAATATTTTAGAATTTTGATTTACTTGATTGAAAAATAAATTATGAGTAACGGTACAAAAATGACATTGACGCTATATGAATCAGGTTGATACAAACCTATTACACGCTTAGCGTGTCTGAAATAGCGACCAGGTACAACCTAGCGACCTACTCGCTTAGCGACCTGCTCTCTTAGCGACTCCACCCACTTAGCGACCCCACCCGCTGAGCTACCAGGTCGGAATGGAACCCAATTGTAAAGTGAGGAGTGATTATAGATCAAATACATGCATTAAGTCACTTGAAAATGACCCACATCAAAATGGTCTATAAAACTGTTGGGCTTCATCAAGCTCATTGTCCGATTCAAGGCAAACAGGGAAGTTTTACGATGACGCATCATACTTAACTTCGACTTAAGCTAAACACGCATCCAACCATGTCTATATTTTCTTTTATGTAAGATGATATTCGTCAAAGACGAAATACGTTTACAGCTAGTCCTCACTTAACGACTTACATTTTTAACAACCCTCGAACTTACGACCGGCTATAAA